ATTAAAGACCCAGAGTTCAAACAATGCTTATCCTGTTAAGAGACAGAGAATTCAAAGTGTAGTCCCCATAAAATCGCAGCAAACCAAGATGATTCCTGAACCAGTTTCTTGCATTTCCACCTGGCTTCCCTACAGAAATCCCAGCTCTGATTTGCTATGTAGCATTTAAACAAGATGATATGAACATGCACTGATCAAACTCCAGGGCTCTGCAGGCTTTGGGCAATACCTGTGCTTTAAGCTCTGCAGGTCAGCTGAGGTCCTTCCCCCCAGGGCAGTTCATATGTCTGCCTAATTGACTCCAGTTTTGACTTTGGCTCATTACCCGGCATCAGATCCTTTCCTTCCCCTGATGCTCATGGGTAAAAATAATACGAAGCCAAAAGCCACCTGAAAGGACACAGTGCTTTTTCAAGACACCACTCATAGATCAATATGTCTTCAAGCCTGAGGAGAAAACCCTCAGCACAGCAATCCCAAGGATAGTCTCTTAAGTCTGTTACCTCTCAAAGAATTAAAAAAATGGAGCAGAGCTCTCAAAATAAAAATAACCTAATATGGATAATACCTACATTTTTTCAACTTTTCCCTCCTACATCAGGTTAAGTAGTACCTGACACATCTATAGCTATAAAACAGGTTTCTCCCCTCTTGACTATGATTTATGTGGTTTCCTTTGTTTTGCTAGAACAAAGATTTTTAAAGACTCAGTTTCAGCTGGCATAAGATATTTCCAGCAATTCTGCCATTAAACCTGTATTCTAAGCGAATTACTCTAAAGCCCTTAAGACACTGATGCAAAAAAGCAATGCATTCTTAAACAGATTTAGCTAAGGGCTGATCTAGGCTTCAAAATTAATTTCAGAAGCGCCAATGGAAAAAAGCCAAACACAAAAAGCAGTGAAGGCCAGCAGAGCAAGGAAGATGAAGGGTCTTTCCTACAGAGGATCTTCCAGTAAAGCAGTTGGGCACTTGATACAGGATGGACAAAGGAGAAAAGGGTGGAGGAAGAGAGGAAGAAATGGTAGAGATGTAATGAAATCTGCAGAAGTGGCAGCCAGCACCAAAACAGCTCAGCTTGCTGTTGAGGAGTGGAGCCTGAAAAAGAAGAGCTTGTAACAGAATGAGAATATTCTGCCAGGGCTGGGAGACAGGTATCTCGAGCTTAATTGCTTCAACTTACGCACAGGATGGGACAAGAACCAGAAGAGCACAGAAAAAGGCCAAGGGGATGCAGCAGAGTAAGACTGAGTACCACAGTTTGTTGGTTTGTTGGACACAAACACACCGGTAGCAAAGATCTTGTTAACCAACTTCCAGAGCAGCACAGATGTCTTGCTCTTATTCTTACCGCTAATATATTCGCAGAAGGATAAGAAATTAGGCATAACCAAATACTTCCAGTCGATCAGGAACAGCACTGGTAGGACTCTGCTTACAGAGATCCTTCTGTGCTCCCCAAAGGCACATTCGCTCCCTTATTTCATTCAATATTAGGTTGATTGAGTGACAAGCTTCAGCGCTGAAACACCAATTTAAGCGCTTTCACACGCTCACCGCCCATAGATTCAGCGAGGAAGGTTTGTGACATAAAGAAGATATCACTAAATCAGTATTTGGAGCTACAAATAGAGAATACAAGTTTTACACAAGTATCAGTAAAAGAATATTTTTTATAAACATTAAGGTTGCCGCAAACTGTGGGGTTCAATACTTCTCATGTATTAATGCCTCATTTAGATTAGCCAATGCCTGCACCAAGATTTATTTCAATTAATTAATTCAGTTCATTATACCAATGCCCAGATACTTAATTGCTTCTGTTGTCAGCTGGAAATCCTCAGAGTTTAAGTTATTGCTTAGCAAGGGTAAACTTCATTAGTCTTCTAAGCTCAGTTATTTGCATTGCTTAAGTATTCTTCACCATGGCAGAACAGTGCAGCATTAGCTACTCCTGTTGTGTAATTCCTTAATGAGATATATTCCACCAAAAGCAGGCAGCAGGAGCTCCTGGAGGACAGCGAAGGCAACAAGAACAACACTCACCTGCAACGGACAGCTACGCAGAAAGCTACACACAGATGCAGATCAAACGTGGAAGATCCTATCAACCCACTTCCAGTCTATGAAGACACAGAGTAAGTCTTTCCTGTCTCACATCATACAACCACTGGGGTTTTTTTACACATCTTTTCAATCCTTGACTTCTCCTCTACCTTTGTGTGGGCTTTCTTACACCAGCACTGGCTTCTGATGCTGCTCAAAGCATATCCTACAGAATCAATCTGAAATACACGGGTTTCAGGCTGCACATGACAGTCAGAAACCACCTGAGAAGTCCTGTCTTTCTTCATGCTAAGTACTGGAAAGGGTAAATTCACATACAGGCACCACCATATTAATCCCTTTTTGCAAGGTTCCTCACCATCAGAAGCACAAGAAATCTGTTTTGAAATAAAAAGGTTGGGTTTTTTTTAAGTACTAATAAGAAGTGCAGTGCTGCTTCCCACATGTCAGTCGAGAAGAGTTGGGGTATTTACACATGGTTCTATGCAGATGACAAAAAGAAATTCAAGTCAAATACTCTTTTCCTTTTATTATCGCTCTTCCTCTAACAGCGCATCAACTCTTACTTACCTAGCCCAAGAAGTGTAAGATTTTTTGCAATTGCTTCTTGATTCAGCCTATTACACCTTTAATGCCTTAACTATAAAGAAAAATAATTATAAGAAAACAAAAAGAGGGAGACATCCCTCATCTTAAAAGAAAACTTCACTGACAGCCTGCAGGAGAGCATCCATTACTGCATTCCTTACTCAAAGGGCAATGGAGTGTCTCAGCTTCATTGACAGACCACCCAAGGTTAAGCAGAATATTAGCAGGCACACATTCCTCATTAAGAGTCATCTGCCATTAAAGGGACAGTAATTCTTTGTGATGCTAAGAGAGCCATACTTAAGACCTGCTGGACCTCTCAGAGACTAACTGTGCAGCACAGGAGTTTCATGTCACAACAAAAGCACAGGTGCTTCACTATCCAAAGGAAAACAAGCATCTTAGGTCATCCCTATGACAGACTAACTGCACCAACAGAACTGGTTACGCAAAGGACCTCCCTAACCTGCTTCCTATTTAAATACCTCTGCAACATTTAATAGATCAAAATCACCTACTACTAAGTGTAAATACTCAGATGCACACAGACATTTCTCTCTGTAGTATATAAATTACATTTTCAGTGACACTTGGCCTATTTGATCCCCGTGCCCTGGCTACATGTATTACATATTTACCTTTTATAACTAATTCATTATACTTACTACTACTTACTGTAATAACCCAGGATGTAACTAGCTGAATAACCCAGGATGTCATTACAAACATTTTTTAATTCACCTATGCTTATTCTTAAACACGATTAATCACTCAATTTATATATTGTGAAAGACAAAAGGAAATTTGCAGTTTCTCATCCCTCGTTTATTTAAACACAATGTTAAAATGCCTATTTGAGAGTCTGTTTAAAACTCCTACAGGTGTCAGTGTGAAGTATTTTCTACACCAAACATACCAGTTTTGTTCCTCCTCTTATTCAAGAGCTGTATGCCAAGTAATTAAAGTAACACATAAGCCTGGATGTACTTTTATTTTACAGTTACAGACATTGTGTATTTATTTCATGGCTCATATAGGAAAGGGATACTTAAATCTGTACAATTCTATTTAGTGCTTTACAAATTCGTAAAAGACAAAGGAGACAGAGCAAGGAAAGAAAAAAAAAAATTAAAATCACAGCAAGCCAATCTCTCCAGACTGATGAGGACTGGGGAGATCGCAGACCACACTAGACCAAAGAGGCTGCCATCTCCTTTATCTGATTTCTATCAGCGCTCTCAGCTGAGCAAGGTCAAGCCTGGCCACAGTGTCCAGGGGCCTCCAAGGAACTCCAGGAGCCAAAAAATCACTCCCTGAAATCACCCCTGACCTAGCACTCCGCATACCCTTAGCAGCTCTTTGCTGCAGGAAGCACCTTCCTCCTGATAAAAGGCAAAGCTAACAACTGACAATTTGGCTGTTGTTAAAAGCAGGGGTGAATCTGCTGCAGGAGGGAGATATTAACTCCGTTGTCTTTTGGAGAGCTTTACGTAGGACATGATGTCCTACCTACTTTACAATCACGCTCAGGATATTTTTAGTGGAAAAAACCCTGCTCACTTCCCTGCCTGAAAAGGGGTGTTATCCTGGCCATCCATGACCTTGAGTGACACTGCCAGTGCCACACTGCTTTCACGTTTTGAGGGAAGAGAAGGGAGTCCTTGATTTATTTCAAACGTGGCATGGGCCCAGGGTTCAGTGAGGGTCACCTCAGGCAAGCACAAATATCTCCTTTCTCCTCGCAGTTATGGAAACAAGCCTTGAGCTTCATTGCTCAGAGTAGGTGTGCTCAGGCTCTGGCCCTTATAAACCTCATGAGTCTCGCGTGCAGCTACCTTACCACTGAAAGATGGACTGTCCCCTTTTGCTCCTCTGCTATGTTTTGTATGTGAAGCGGTCAGCAGAACACAAAGAAAAGCAGAGCAGCATCCCCTGGCCAAGCATGCTGTCCTAGCAGCCCTCCCAGAAGCTGAAAGCATGATGTTTTCACCCAGGTTGGTAGAGTCAACAGATTTATCTTCACACAACACCACCACAGACCTGTGTAGCATCACCACGTAGGGGGAAGCTGGGCAGCAAACCCCACCAAGGGCAAACAGCCCATGCTGAGGATGGCTACAGAGGAAAACTTCAGCCCTGAGCTTTCTCACGTCGCTCTGGCTACTCACAGCAGCAAAGCAGCTCTACAGGGAGTCAGCAACAGCCATTCCTTCCCATGCGGCAGAAGCAGGACAAGCAATAATGCTTTGCAGATCTTAAACCCATCTGCAGGTACTTACCACAGGACTAAAGCAGCGTGAGGTCTCAGGCAAAAAAAAAAATAAAAATAAAAAAATGTATGTTACCTCTGCCAAAGGAATCTGGCACTTGCTGTCACTGCAGCTGTCCCTACAAAAGCTGCCACCATGAGCCTACGCCTGGTCCTGGGGTGATGTGCCGTCCCATGGTAACGCCACGAAACAGCAGACAGCCCTGCTGCAACAGGAAGAAATCGAAGGCGAAACATCCTGTCGAATAAGAAGAACACATCAGTAAAGCAACAAACGGTTTCCAGTTGTGGACTCTCACGCTGACCCTCAACCAGATATTCGCTCACATTTTTTCTAAAATAGGAAAAGTTACAGAAAATAACTGTCACAGATGTTTATTACCTGTTCTGAAATAGGCATGTAACCTGTCTAATAAACAGCAAATCACAAGTATTACATATTGGCATACACCTGGCTGACACACCTTGCTGTCACATCCCAACTACTTACTCAGCTGCTCTTACAAGATTTTCCAAATTCCTTTTCAGCCTTTCCCCAGGACACTTCATTAAGAGGAAATATTTGCACACTCCCACTCAAGTGCCAAGGCATGGAAGATGCAGGTAGATCTTACAAGCAACTACAGCAAATAAGAACCATTTGGCCAGAGGAAAAGACACAGCTGTATTTTAAAAGGCAAATTAAACCAAGTAACAAGCCAACCAAACAAACAAAACCCCAACCCAGTCATTTTAAATTTCCTTAAGAAAACCCTACTGTTCTTAGATCACTTTTTTAGCTAGCCTGGAGCAAAAACATTTATATTCAACTTTAAGTATAAGGCAAGTTTCAAAGTGTTAAAACTCGTAAAATACAAACCATGCCCTGTTGCTCTGTACCACGCAACGGTACAGAGACAAATGGGAAACCAGAGCTACTAATTTAAATATTATTACAACGGAGAAATCTGAACCACAAAAATGTCACCTCATCATACACACCAGCTACAGGAGACAAAGCAATTTTTGCTAGCTCACAAGATTGAAGATGAAGGATAAATGTTCCCTTTGAAAAGAAAAGGTGCTGTATCTTTTAGTGGAAAAAAGGTTTTATTTCTAACGGATGTAAATTCAGTTTTCCGGTCATGGGGTCAGCCTTAAAAAAAAAGAAATTGGGAGCAGAATGGCAAAAGAGAATTCCCAAGGCCAGCAAAAACATTGGAAGTGGAGAGCAGGGAGCAGTGGCCTGATTTCTTCCTTTTGTTCACCATTCTTGCTGTTCTATTCAAATATTCCCAGCCAGTAAGTAATCACAGAATACAAAAATAAAGTCACGTCTATTGCTTTCTGTTCGCTTTTGCAACTCAAGATGCCACCGTGCTGTTTTGCTAAACCATTAACTTCCAACAATGAGAATCTCGGGACCATTTTGCGCAAACACGTCTTACACGTGTGGTGTGTTATCCCATTTCAGCTATAAAGAGTTGAATGCATTACTGCCCTTTTCCTCCAATTAAAGCAACACGCAGCTCAGGATTTCATAACAGGAACCGGTGATGTGAACTTAGGGAGGGGAAGAGAGGAAGAGGGAGGGAAGACGCACATAAAATATTCAGCAGATAATTGAGTGCCAGAGCTCAGTATCTTTTAAGGCAAGAGGTGGTGGAGATGCATCTGAAGACTTCACAGCACAATCAAGAAATACATGGTGAGGGGAAGAAAAGCATAGATAATGAAAAGTCCTTAGCAAATCCCTTATCGGTGATTTTTCGTATCAGATCTAAGGCTTTTGCATGGTCCTGGGGCAAGCGAGACAGGATGGAGCACCAGCAGGTGACAGCAGGCTGGAACGGAGGTGGCAACACTGCTCTTGATGGGTAGGGCAAAAGCCACAGGGTGTCTCTCCCTTGCCACCCTGGTTTATGGGCAAAACCCACAAATTCTGCTGCTCACAGCTAGTGCATCTGAATAGCATCCATTTTATATTTATCTGTACACATATTAAAAACCAAGTTTGCAGTCAGCATTACCATTTTGTTTATTACTTTAAAAATAAATAGGCTTAAAATTAAAGTTCTGATGGAACACAGCCAGCCAACAGCATCTATTCTCCAATATTCTCCAGCTCTGAACAATAGAAGACTGCGTTATGAAAAACAGCTCTTATCTCAAATTTAAAATATATTTCCATCCTATACAAACCTGATGTTCCCACTTCATCTCCAGGGATGAATTTCTGTTACGCATGCAGAGAAAAATCTGCAAGTATTAATTTTCACAGAGAAGCTAACGTTGCCCTTACTTGGGTTCCCCATCCTAATTACAGCTTTATATGCATAAGATGTAATGGATAAGGGAAGTGTTGCCAGTATCATTTAATCAGTCAAAATGAAAATCAAGCCCCACAGTGCTTACTTTTGAGCTTGAAGAGATTTTTACAACATTTCAGATTGTTGGCTTTAGTACTGCATAAATGTTTTCTGTCTGAGCCCTAAGAAACACTAAATTATCTACTTTGTCCAAGTAATCTCTATCCTTGATGGTGCTGGGACATTCACCCAGACAGTGCTCACTTGGTAGTAATTCCCGAGAGAGCTGAAAGCAGGCAGTTCCCATAATAACCCTAAAATAAAGAGTATCCTTATCTCAGAATGCAAAAAAGCACTTTGGAAGCTAAATTTTCCATGCTTTCCATCTGCAATTTTACAATCTCTTTTTTTTTTTTTTTTTTTTTAAAAAGAAAGCGCCATGATATTTGGTATGTTTGTTAAAAGCTCCAGGCATTTAAGACAAGATCACTCAAGAAAGCTGGTGCCCACTTTTAAAAAGATTAAGTGTCTTGCCCTAACTGCAGCAATGAAAAGCTTAACACCACAATCTGCAGTAGGATAAGGAATAAAACTGAGATAAAGTATAAAACACCCAAGAACTGATGTGATTACAGCTTACAATAAGAAACAACCTCAATTCTTGCATGTTTTAATGCATAAATGATTTTTTTTTACAAGATACAACAAAATAGCTCAGAGAAGAAAAAAAAACTTAACTCCAAAACACTGAAAATAAGGATCAAACATAAAAGTGATCATGATGTTCTAGCAATACTGCTACAAGTAATCTGTAGATCGTATTTTTCTTAGAGATAAACCAGTCTTTTATCTTAAGTTCTTGCTCAGAACAGCTCTACAGTTACTTTCAGAGGTTGAATTAATATCCTTGGACAAAAGAAATAGCTGGTTTTTTTTTTTCTCCAGAAAAGAATGACATATCTGCTTTTATTTGTGCCACAAGACATGGGTATTATTTTTTTAAGCAGAAGAGGCAACTGACAGACTTGAAGATTTAAAAACAAAGCTTTGTTTACTGGCTGCTCCACCAAAACCCATTCCTTGGAGCCCAAACATTCAAAAAACACCACAAAACACAACAAAAAACCCATCTCACCCCAATCCCCTTGTCAAAAGAGATCTGACAACCCATCCTGGTACCTGGTTTGCTCTTTCCACCTCAGGACCACGTTTTTGTTCTCCAGCTCCATGGTTTAAGCTGTGTTTCTGCACCAGCTGCTGCAGCAGCAGCTCTCACTGCCATCAGGTAAGTGCTCAGGGCCCTGCTCTATGGGTACATGCCACCGGCAAGTGAGAACAGTACAAAGCCTCATATATTTGTAATTTAACATTAAATGTGTTAGCGTCTTTGACATCCAGGAAACCCACAAACCCATTAGGAAAGTACCACTTCCGATCCAAGACACAACAGGCATCATTCAAACTGAGGACATCCAGATCACTTTAAAAGAAATGCAAAATTATTTCAACAGCTATATACATTCTTGCTTGATGTGGATATTTTATTTTCCCAAACAATGATCCTCTGTCCACTAACCTGTTTTGCAAGGAAATTCAGACAGGCTCTCTGCTTCTCCCCCCTGGCACATCCAGAGCATCAACAGTCCAGCCCTGGATTTTTCAGTGCACGTAAGAACTGGCAGATCCCATCTCTCTTGCATTCTTTTTCAGATACCGAAAGAAAAAGAACAAAAAGACTTGCTCCTGTTTTTCCAGCACTCCAGTTAGCTGATGGTTTCCATACTGAAAGCACTAAGTAGCCCAGCCCAGGCAAAAGGGACTTCTTCGCACCTGGGTACCCCCAGCACCGAACTTTTTGTAGTCCTTTTTGGCAATCCAGAACAGCCACAGCCGCAGCTTTTAAGATGAAACACACTTAAAGCAGCTTTTTGATGTCGAAGCTGGCCTCGGTGGCACAGGCACACGAGAGGGAGAACAGTAACTGAATACGCTGATGGGTGTTTAATTTTTAATCAGAGAAAGGTTCACAGGCACATTTTATTTGAACAATTTTACTAGGACATGGTAAGCTTGTGCATTAGCACAGAATGTCAACTGTAAATTTAAATGAAAAATATTGTTATGTAGTAAGATCTTCTCAAAAAAGATTTGCATTTACGAGGCACTGCTCAGGCATAAAGACTTCTGCAGGGACTGGCTGAGATGGAGTCACTAAGAACTGAAAGAGCTTTCTGGAGCCATATGTTTATTAAAAAGCAAAGTTTGACATTGCCAGAGCGCACCAAGACATCCTGACCCAGCAGCAGCAGCTGTAGGAAGATTCCTCACCTATCTCCATCCCAGCCCCTGACTGTCAGTTATACCTCACCCTCGCTCACTGAAGCCAGCGACGTCGGCTCCAGAAGACATGGGGTGCCCTGAAGCAGAGAGCCAGCAGCAGAAGAGCACAAGTCTCGGCTCCCAGCTCTCCTGTCTCCATCTTCAAGAGGATTATTGAGAAGAGGGGAAGGAAAAATTGCAACAGGGGAAAAAGTACAACAAATAAATCCCATGGGAAGGAAAAGTCAAGACACACAGGAAAGGGCAAAGCAATCGCGAGAGAAGTTTCACTGTCAACAGTAATATAGAGATACCTAAAATAATCTGATACATAAATCGGGGAAAAAAACCTCTTAGCATCAAACCTGCATCCACCAAAGTTAGTTATTAATTTTGACTTCTCCTCCCCCCCAGTTCTCCATACTTTCCATTTACAAACTGGTACCAGCGAGAGAGATTTGTACAAGGGTAATTCATATGAAGGGTGCCCGGAGGTGGATTCCAGCTACTGAGGCGTCTGGATCCACTCCTTCCCCCATCCCCAAGAGAGACCGAACCGCTCCTGCTCTTTTCCCCTCCTATAACTCCAAACTTTCACCTTACCCAGTGCAATTTTCAGTTAAAGGATTAC